GTCTTTACTAAAATTACAAAAATTAGCTGTGCATGGTGGTGGTCATCCGTAGTCCTAGCTACTTGGGAGGCTGAGGCAGGAGAATTCCTTGAACCCAGAAGGTGGAGGTTGCAGTGAGCCAAGATGGTGCCACTACACTCCAGCCTGGGCAACAAAGCAAGACTCTGCCTCAAAAAAAAAAAAAGAAAAAGAAAAGAAATGTTACTGATTTTTGTATGTTGATTTATAATTTGACTTATTCCTTTGTAATTTGGATGCCATTTATTTCTTTTTCTTGTTTATCTTGTCTGATTGCTCTAGCTAGGACTTCTAGTACTGTGTTTGAATAACAGGGTGAAAGTGAGCATCCTTGTCCTGTTCCTGATCTTAGAGGAAAAACTTCCAGTTTTTCCCCATTCAGTACTGTACTAGTTTTGGGTCTCTCGTATGTAACTTTTATTATATTGAGGTTTATTCCTTTTATACGCAGTGTTTTTAAGGTTTTTATCATGAATGGATGTTGAATTTTATCAAATGCTTTTTCAACATCAATTGAAATGATTTTTTTTGTCCTTCATTCTGTTGATATAATGTGTCATATTCGTTGATATGAGTATGTTGAGCCATCCTTGCATACCTGGGATCAATCCCACTTGAACATAATAAATGATCTTTTTAATGTGTTGCTGAATTTGGTTTGCTAGTGTTTTATTGAGGATTTTTGCGTCAATATCAATTGGTTACGTTGGCCTATACTTTTTTTTTTTTAAAGATACATTCTTACTCTATCGCCCAAGCTGGAGTGCAGTGGCTTAGTAAAGCCAGGGTTTCACTATGTTGGCAAGGCTGGCCTCAGACTCTTAACTTCAGGTGATCCGTCTGCCTCAGCCTCCCAAAGTGTTGGGTTTACAGGTGTGAGCCAACGTTCCTGGCCTCTAGTTTTGTTTTGTTTTTTGATGTGTCTTTATCTGTTTCTGGTATCAGAGTAATACTGGCCATGTAGAATGAGTTTGGAGGTATTCCTTCCTCCTCTATTTTTCAGAATAATGTGAGTAGGATTGGTATTAGTTCTTCCTTAATTGTTTTGTAGAATTTGCCAGTGAGGTCAGCAGACCTGGGACCTTTCTTTATTGGGAGACTTTTTATTATGGTTTCAGTCTCATTACTTGCTATTGGTCTCTTCAGGTTTTGGATTTCTTCATTATTTAATCTTAGTAGGTTTTATGTGTCTCTGAATTTATCCATTTCTTCTAGATTTTTTAATATTTTGGTATATAGTTGCTCATGGTAACCAGCAATAATCCTTTTAATTTCTCCAGTATCAGTTGTAATATCTCATTTTTCATCTCTGATTTTATTTATTAGGGTCTTTTCTCTTTTTTTCTTAGTCTAGCTAAAGGTTTGTCAGTTTATCTTTTTAAAAGACTGGTTTTTGTTTTGTTGCTGTTTTGTATTGTTTTCTTCATTTCAAATTCATTTATTTCTGCTCTAATCCTTATTTTTTATTTTTATTTTTTGTTTGTTTTGAGACAGAGTATTTCTGCTCTGATCCTTATTTTTTATTTTTATTTTTTGTTTGTTTGTTTTGAGACAGAGTCTCACTCTGTCGCCAGGCTGGAGTGCAGTGGCGTGAACTTGGCTCACTACAGCCACCGCCACCTGGGTTCAGATGATTCTCCTGCCTCAGCCTCCGGAGTAGCTTGAACTATAGGCATGCGCCACCACACCCAGCTAATTTTTGTATTTTTAGTAGAGATGGGGTTTCGCCATGTTGGCCAGGGTGGTCTCAAACTCCTGACCTCAAGTGATCTTCCCACATTAGCCTCCCAAATTGCTGGGGTAACAGGTGTGAGCCACCATGCCCAGCCTGCTCTGATCTTTATTATTTCTTCTACTAATTTTGGGTTTGGTTTGTTCTTCCATTTCTAGTTTCTTAAGTGGCATTGTTAGGTTGTTTATTTAAAAGTTTTCTCTTTTTTTGATGTAGGTGCTTATACCCATAAATTTCCCTCTTAGTACTGCTTTTGCTGTATCCCACAGGTTTTGGTATGTTGTGTTTCCATTATTATTTGTTTGAATACATTTTTCTGTTTCCTTCTTGATTTTTTCATTGACCTACTGGTCATTCAGGAACATACTGTTTAATTTCCATGTGTTTGTATAGTTTCCACAATTTCTTTTGTTACTGATTTCTAGTTTTATTGTGTTTAGAGAATATGCTTGATATTATTTCAATTTTTTGAGTATTTTATAGATGTACATTTTTAAATATATATTTTCTTATAGTTATGCTGCTTACATACTTCATACTTTAACCACTTTTGCTCATCTATTCCCCATTGAGGGAATTTAGCTATCTTAAACCATTCCAAAGAACATCTTAGAGCATACTGGATTGTGTTTTATGATGTTTACAATGGCTTCCACCTCGTAGGCAAACAGTGTTGTTTGATGAAATAATCTCAAAAATGACTAAGATGGATAGTTAAAATAATCTTTTAGTTGGGTTTCCATTTTGCTTTCTGGAAAGATTGAACAGTATTACAGTATTATTAGTAGTGTGTTTATGGACCTGTGTCCAATATTGAATGTGGATTTTTAAGATAATTTATTCTTTTATTACTCAAAACCACTCAGATTTTTTTACCTTAATGTGAAAAGTTATTATAGTTTTAATTAAACTTTTATTGAGATCCTTTCTAAATTATAAACCTATAGTTTCTTATAATTTAAGTAAAAAAATTTCTTATTAAACATTTTGGTTGTTTGGATTCTAAACAGTCATTGCCTTGTTTTGTTTTTAATTTGGAGCAGTCTGGCTTCTACTACTATCATTTCACAAAAGTATTTCTTACTAAGATAACCGGTCATCTCTTAAATGGCCAGCCTAGTAGCAGCACTCAAGACGTTATTTTTTCTCATCTTTCTACTATATTCAGTGTTGTTATTCGGTTCATCTTTCTTCACATTTTTTATTTCAATAATACTCTTCTCTTATATTCTCTCTCATTGTCTGATATTCTTCAGGATGAGGTTCCTGTTTTTACCCCTTGGTAGATCCTCCATGGGCCATCTTTGTTAGTCTTTTACACTATTTTTCATACTCTTCCTAGACAATAACGTCTTTGCTTGTGGCCTCAGTTAACTCCAAATGGCTCCCAAATCTGTATGTTCGGTTCTGTCTTCTCTGTGCTTTGGATTGAGGTATCTAGCTGTTTGACAGATTTCTAGGCATTTCATTTTCAATAAACATAAAATCCTTGTGTTTCTTTCTCATCCCGTTCGTCCTATCTTCCCTTCCTCAGTGAATACCAAAATCCTTGTATTATTTTGCCTTTTCTCAAGATAGTTCCTCCACTGTGCCTATTTCAGGCATATTTAGTAATAATAGCTTCCTCTCATCTTCATGCCTGCTCTTGAACCTTTTTAATAATATCTTCCATTTTAAAACTAATCTGTCTGACATAAAAGCTGTATGATCTGTCTGACTGTGTTTTCCCCTTCTTGCAATCCTTCAATATCACCTAAGACCTTGGAAGCCAATTGGTCTCCTGAATGTTGCATTATGACCTAGAGAATTTATGAAAGTCAAGCTGTGAACCAGGTGCAGTGGCTCATGCATGTAATCCCAGCACTTTGGGAGGCCGAGGCAGGTGGATCAGCTGAGGTCGGGAGTTTGAGACCAGCCTGACCAACATAGTGAAACCCTGTCTCTACTAAAAATACAAAAATTAGCCAGGCTTGGTGGTATGCATCTGTAATCCCAGCTACTCGGGAGGCTGAGGCACAAGAATCGCTTGAGCACAGGAGGCGGAGGTTGCAGTGAGCCGAGATCACGCCATTGCACTCCGCCTGGGTGACAGAGTGAGACTCTAACTCAAAAAAAAAAAAAGAAATGAAAGTCAAGCTGTGAAATTAGCATTATTGAAGGTTGTCTGAGTTATTCCAGTTTCAGCCTGCCTTGAGGCTTACTGATTACAGGATAATCCCAGCAAACACTTTGCATTCTATACAGGGTTGTGCTGATCTCCTTTCCCCCCCCCGCTCCCCTGTTTCTCTCCAGCCATTCTTCCTCTTGTAACATACCTGCCTCCGTACCATTCCTAAATTCACTGCTTCCTCTCATTTTTCTGCATACATTGGACATGCCGACCTCTGTCTTGAGTCTCCTTTCTGCCCTTAACCGACCGGTGTTTTATTTGTTGTTCTAGTCTCATTTCAAGTTCTGTGTATTTTAAATCCTCCAGAGAGTTATTGTGTCTTTGACCATTATTTTTGTATGCATCTGTGTACTACTTTGAAGTTTTTATCTGATTGTATTTTATTTTTTACACTTTTGCCTCCCCCCGAGACTTTAATTCCATGAGTTCAGGGATCTTTTTTTTTTTGTGAGTCAGGGTCTCACTCTGTTGCCAAGACTGGAGTGCAGTGGGATGAACACAGCTCACTTCAGCCTCAACCTCCTGGGCTCAAGCAATCCTTCCACCTTAGCCCCACAAGTGTAGCTGGGACTTACAGGTGCTTACCACCATGCTGGCTAATTTTTGTATTTTTGGTAGAGATGGGGTTTTACCATGTGCCCAGGCTAATTTCAAACTCCTGAGTGCAAGCAGTCTGTCCACCTTGGCCTCCCAAAGTGCTGGGATTACAGGCATGAGCCACCATGCCCTGCCTGGGTGCAGAGATCTTTTAATACTAGTGCTGAGCACAATCTTTGACACATAGTCTTCATAAATATGTATTGAAGTAAACTTCAGAGAAATAAATATACCTAAGTACATTGGTTTTAAAATATGTGCCCACCCAAACACTGTGTTGGATGTCATTTGAAATTCCAGTCAGTACCAAAAATAATCAGAAAAATAAGCTGCTACTCATGACATTAGGCCACTACTGTACTACTACTGCTATAACATGAGACTTTATTTTGCTAATTATACCTTCTAACTAATATGACAACCTAAGGAACAAAGGCATACATAAGTCACCACTTGGAAAATTAATGCACATTTCATTTCCAGGCTGGTAAATCAAAGACTTCTGGAAGTACAGTCACAAGTTGAAGAATTGCAAAAATCTTTACAGGATCAAGGCTCGAAAGCAGAAGATGTAAGTTTTAATATGCACCAATCATAGTCCATCAGTTTCACAATGTTGAGAAATAACTTATTTTTTATTTGATATTTTCTATCAAAATAATATAGTATTATATTGGTTATAGAAAAGAAACAGTGTTTTCCTTTATACTAATATTTCTTATAAAAAGGACCAGATACTACTTTATTGTTTCTTCAGATTCACTCTGCTGGGAATTAGAAGTTTATTTATAGTTACCAACTGAGGAATTAATTGAGGCTTCGTATTTTAAATGTCCTCCACTCAGTATTCAAAGATGAAGTGTAGGGTTTTTCCCCTTTGGTCAAAAAAAATTGCTAGGGGAAATTTGAAATGTTCAAGTAGAAATTTTTAATGTAAAAGTCATATTGAAGAAAATAATGCCGTCCCTAGAATTGCATTATCTCTATATTTCTGAATCCCTCTTACTCCTTCGCTTCCCCAACACTGGCCCTTTTTTTACATCCCCCAGCACACTGTGTCTCTGTCACAGCTCTGCACACTCTGATTAGAATAGGGTAAATATATTAGCCAAGGACTGCCTTTCTTCACAGCCTGCATGTTAACCTTCTAGCACAGTGCTCGGGTAGCACAGTCATCAGTCTCTGACAAAAGTTTAAGTAAGTCAAATTTTGCAAATCCTGTATATTTAATGAATAGTAAACAACAGAACTAAGACTTAGAGTGTTCAAAAATAGTGTAAAGAGGAGAAAAAACTAAATTTTGGTGATCAGTCTTTGCTTCAACCAGCTGTTTTGTTTTTTTCCTGTTACCAATGTAATTTGCTATAAACTCTCGCATTTGAGCATAAATGTTTGTTTCCATTGATAGAGTCATTTTGGAGGATTAACTTCTAAATTATAGATATAGCCAATTCCGTTCAGCTTTATTAACATAAGAGGGTATAAAAACAGAAAGAAGCAAAGAAAAGGAGTTAAATATGTTATTTAAAACTTGAGAATATTGGATACAAAAAGCTCAGCCATGGCCTAGTTTAATGAGTTTCTCCAGACATCATCTCTTGTATATTGGCAATATGCCCATCATTCTAACATGTGTAATGTTAGCTCATCCCTTAATAAGTTGGCATGCCTTCTTAGATTCCCAGATTGATTTCTGATTCCTAAAATTGTCACCAACATTTAAACTTCCTTATGCCCTTATTAAAATTTAAAACATGTTTTTATCCAAAATGCTAAGTCACGAAGAGGTGAAACCAAATTACCATTAGTGTATTAAAATATTGTTAAGTCTAATTAAGTATCTTACAGATGAACTAAAGTGGGCAACATTTCTTAATTCAGTGTAATCGCTAGGCTCCTTAAACTGAGATCAATGTAAAATCGATTCTGGTCTCCCAGATTCATAGGAGACTTTTATTGATTTGTTATGGGAAGGAAGGAAGGGCATGTGGTACATAGGAAGTAAAAATGGCAAAATATTAGAATCAGCTTACACTTCAGTGTTACAAGGATGGCCATTGTGCATGGTTCTCTTACATTAAAACATAAATAAAAAAACATAAAAGCATTTTTCTTCAAAAGATAATTTGGGATAGCTTGATTAGGTATCACTATGGTTATCAAATCTAATTAAATGTGCTGTGGGCCTTTACTTTAACAGAATGTATTTCAGAGGTGAGATGCCAACCCTGTGAAGCAATATTTACATAAATTAGTCCATTTATATGACTATCCAGATGTCTTGTTGTAAACTAAGCAGAACTTTGCTCTGAACTCTTTTCTATAAGTAGAAAAGATTCAGATAGCTGAAAGTGTGCCTCCAAATGGCTTAGAAAAATAAGCAGTGCAATACAGCATACGTGGTTCTTGCCCAGCAATTTTTTTTATGTTTTTGTCTTACTTTTCTCTTTCTCTAACCTAGAGTGTTGCATCTTGGGAATGTGCAACACATAAAGCAACCTGCCAAAGGAAGCAGTCCCCTCTGGAGAAGAAAACATAATTTCTGCCAGCTTCTGTTATCAAAAGCACAGTTTTTTCATGAGATCTTAAGTCAGAGTAGAAGGGGTTGAACATTTTTAATATATTTTTTATGTCATTTGTTTTTAGTATGGAAGCAGAAAAACCTTGTTATATCCAGCTGTATGGATAATTTGAGCTAGCCACAATATATAAAACTTCAGAGAACAAGACAGGATGAGGAAACTGTAGAAAAAAGAAAAATGTACATTTCTTTTTAAAAAGTGCATATCTTGGATGGGCACTGTGGCTTACACCTGTAATCCCAGCACTCTGGGAGGCCGAGATGGACAGATCACCTGAGGTCAGGGGTTTGAGACCAGCGTGCCCAACATGGCGAAACCCTGTCTCTACGAAAAATACAAAAAATCTGGGTATGGTGGCGGGTGCCTGTAATCTCAGCTACTTAGAAGGCTGAGACAGGAGAATTGCTTGAACCTGGAGGTGGAGGTTGCAGTGAGCCAAGATCTTGCAACTGCACTCCAGCCTGGGCAACAAGAGCAAAACTCTATCTCAGGGGGAAAAAAGTGCATATCTTTTATCTGTTCATGAATTGCTAAATCGTTCCTTCTCTCGGCTGCTGTGTTTGCTTCATACTAATTTGTCCTCTCTGTCTCTTGGCATGGTTTCTGCTCAAGGCTATTGTAAGTATGGCTTCCTTTTCATTTTTATATAGTGAGCAGTTTTTGGATTTAGACTGCCATCATAGTTGATGGTACGGAAAATTTTAATTAAGGTAGTTTTGTGCGAAATGAATATCTGGATTACTAACCTTATAAGTTTAGGGCCTTTACAATTAAGATATTCAAAGGATATCAGAATGTTAAAGAGTCGGTCAAAGAGAAGTCTGCTCTTGGTTTTGTTCCCCATCTCATTCCTGTTCCATCCCATTATAATTTATTCGTTTGTATAAATTATCTGGATGCAGTCTACCCTCCTGCTGCCCCATGCTTTGGTAGAAACAGTCTTTAGTTTGGAGAGGCACTGCAGCATTGGAAGCCTGGAAGTGAAGGCCATGCATGGGCTCTGGGGTCTGGCAGACCTGGGTTTTAGATCCGCCACTTGAAAGCTACGAAATGTTCTCCAGCCTGCCCTTCCTCAGCTGTAAGATGGGCTATTACTACACAGGCTGTGAGATTTACATACAACAGTGTTTATGAAACGATTTAGAGCATTGTTTGGCTTATTAACCACCCATTTAACTATTTTATTATTTATCATCTCAGAGTTAAAGTTCTGCTAGAGTCTAATGAAAACTTAAGTACAGAATTGAAGTTTCTAAAAAGTATTTACATTTTGCCTTGTGCTAAAGAAGAAATTAGCAATAATTGAAAGTTAATAGAGTTGGCCGGGCGCAGTGGCTCACACCTGTAATCCCAGGACTTTGGGAGGTCAAGGTGGGAGGATCACTGAATCCCACAAGTTCGAGACCAGCCTGGGCAACAAAGTGAGACCCCATCTTTATTTTTTTTTAAATTTTTTATAAAATAAAGTTAATAGGGTTATATTTTTATATATTTGGAGAGCAGTGATAGAAGACATGTGGATCTGCTGATGTAACTATAGTTAACATGTTGAGGAAAGAAGTGAATTTGAAGTATTACAGCACTGTGTTAGAATGGAAATGAACAAAAAATTATGGTAATCATTATCAAAAGAACTTAGTGTGAGGGTTCCTTTTCCCTCATCGCTGGTGTCGATTTATTGGACAATTTGTTTTATAAGCCTATGTTAATTGGATTTTGGCTGAATTAATTATATAACCATTTATCTCAATATGAAATATTTCATAAAATTTGTTAATAGTATGTACTCGATAAGTGTTTAATTATGAAATTTAGTGGTCCTATAGAAAACGTTGTTTATTTTTAGGTCAGTTTTGCTCTCCTGCTTTTCAGGAGACTTTTTTTTTTACCCAGTGAAAGCTGCATTCTCCAACATATTAAAGGCTGTGCATTTGCCATTCTAAACATTACCATCTATTGCAAAAATTATTTGTAATCTGTGTATTTTCATAAGTCACTAATTAAGTCAGATATATTTATAGAAACGGACCCAACACTTGATTATGACTCAAGAAAAACAGTATAGTAGATAAGTGTCTTAAGGGAAGTTTATTATTACTACGGTCCTGTCTGCCTGCCACATCCAGGAATATTAGGTCTATAATTAAGTGGCTTTTTAATTCCTATTTTATTCATTTGCCTGACTATAAGTAGAGAATTTATGTATCCAGGCTGTGGGTATTTTATACTGATTGTCATCGCTTAAGGGCTGTTCTCTTCCTTTATAAAGAGATTTAAACTAGGGTACATTTTGTGTTTTGAGCTCTTTGACCAAACAGGTTACTGAGAGCTTGCTCAAAAAATTAATGACTATTGTACTTTTAACCTAAAATACTGTTTTAGCTAAAATGTGAGGTAATAAACTAGTTTTGTTTTTCATTTTTAGTCAGTCCTTCTAAAAAAGAAGCTTGAAGAACATCTGTAAGTATAAAAGCTGTTGAGGCTGATTCTTCTATGGTAGAATACACATGCTTTGTGTTAGGTAGATACGGAGTGTCTAGGTGGTGGCACAGGTGGTCCTTGAAGAAATAAAAAATCATAATGCATATTAATAGAGCCTGAAGGGTCATTTCCACCCAAGGTTCTCAGGTCAGAATAATCACTGCTTTCTCAAATGAGACTTCAGGGTTTTCTGTCTTTGTGATAGCATTTATGATCATAGTTAGGAGTTTGAGACACTCTAGATCATGGGTCAGACACTTCTTTCTATAGAGGGTCAAATAGTAATTACTTTAGGCTTTGAAAGCTGGTCTCTGCCACAGCCACTTAGCTCTATAGTTGTAGCTCGAAAACAGCCATAGATAATATGTAAACTAATGGATGTGACCATGTTCCAGTAAAACTTTATAGACACCAACAGGCAACAGACTGGTTTTGGCCCATGGGCTATAGCTTGCCAGCTCTAAAGTATTGCCAGCTTATTCTCTTTATTTAAAAAAAATTTTTTTTCACCAGGTGCGGTGGCTCACTCCTGTAATCCCAGCTCTTTGGGAGGCCAAGGCGGGTGGATCACGAGGTCAGGAGTTTGAGACCAGCCTGTCCAACACAGTGAAACCTCGTCTCTACTAAAAATACAAAAATTAGCCGTGCATGGTGGTGGATGCCTGTAATCCCAGCTACTCAGGAGGCTGAGGCAAGAGAATCGCTTGAACTCAGAAGGCAAAGGTGTGAGCCGAGATCACACCACTGCACTCCAGCCTGGGCAAAAGAGTGAGACTCCATCTCAAAAAAAAAAAAAAAAAATTAAGAGAGAGGGTCTCACTGTGTTGCCCAGGCTGGACTTGAACTCCTGGCCTCAAGCAATCCTCCTGCCTTAGCCTTCTGAGTAGTTGGGATTGCAAGTACATGCTACCACACCCAATCTAATCTTCCTTTTTAAGTAAATTTTTAAAAGTCTATAAAAGCTTGTCAGTAGATTTTTAAATATTTCCTTGAATTACAAATAAGGACTTTTTGATCTAAAAGATGAAGTAAATTTTATTATTTTATTTTTATTTATTTATTTATTTATTTATTTATTTTTGAGACAGAGTTTCACTTTTGTTTCCCAGGCTGGAGTGCAGTGGCACGATCTCAGCACACTGCAACCTCCACCTCCCTGGTTCAAGCAATTCTGCTTCCTCAGCCTCCTGAGTAGCTGGGATTACAGGCATGCACTACCACACCCAGCCAATTTTGTATTTTTAGTAGAAATGGGGTTTCCCCATGTTGGTGAGGCTGGTCTCGAATTCCCGACCTCAGGTGATCTGTCCGCCTCGGCCTCCCAAAATGCTGGGATTACAGGCATGAGCCACTGCACCCAATGAGTTGAATTTTTAAATATTCACATTTGTTTTTTCATGAAGAAGAAATCTTCATTTCTCTTTATCTATAGCTGAGGTTGACAATATAAGAAATGTTTCATAATTTTTCTTGCACCCAGTAAATAACTTTAATCCTCCTTATTGTTTTCTAGCAAAACTCCTCGAAAGCATTGAATTAGTGACCATGAATAGATAGCCTGTTAAAATGTTACAACATTACACTGTGCTAAACCAGACATCCTGAGTACCACAAAGATAATCTGGATTTATTCTACTAGTATGGGAAAGAAATTCTCTTCTCTGGCAATTTGCCTCATGCTACCCAGTTTTTGTTTTTTAAATGGTAAATGTGGGAGACACAAGCTACTCCTGGCGACAGATTTGCTAACAATTCTAGCAGTGGGCAGAGTCTTACTGTACTAGAACAGAAAATGTTACTTTTGCCTTTTCTGAGATTACCTGCAATGAGAATTTAATACCGAATTCTATCCTTAAAAAAATTCTCATTCCTTTATGGCAAAAAATAGTCATTTCATAAGACTACCACCTACCCATTATTCTGTGTTCAGTCATTTACAAGGTGAAAAAATCTTCATCAGAAAGAATTTATTAGTGAAGATGGAACCTATTAGTTCCTGTAGCTGCCATATCAAATTACCACACACTAGATGGCTTATGGCAACATAAATTTATTCTCTCATAGTTCTGGAGGCTAGAAGAAGAACCAAGGTGGCAGCAGGCTGGTTCCTTCTAGAGATTTGGAGGGACAATCTGCTCTGTGCTCCTTGTTGCTGCTGGTAACCGACAGCAGTCCTGGTGTTCTTTGGTTGTAGACAGATCACTCCAGTCTCTGTCCACCTTCACATATCATTCTTCTCTCTGTATGTTTGTGTCTCACGTGACCTTCTTATAAGGATGTCAGTCATTGGATTTAGGGCCTTCCCTAATCCACTGTGCCCTCATCTTAACTAATTACATCTACAAACACCCAATTTCCAAATAGTAACACATTGACATATCCTAAGAATTAAAACTTCAATTTGTCTTTTTAGGAGACGCAATTTAGCCCACCACAGAGGTCACAGATATCTCACAATATGGCCAGTCTCATGCATATTTAAAACTACAATGGGCTAGGTGCGGTGGGCCATGCCTATAATTACAGCACTTTGGGAGGCCCTGAAAGGCAAATTACTTGAGGTCAGGAGTTTGAGACCAGCCTGGCCAACGTGTCGAAACCCTGTCTCTACTAAAAAGACAAAAATTAGTGGGGCATGGTGGCATGTGCCTATAATGCCAGCTATTTGGGAGGCTGAGGCAGGCAGAGTTTGCAGTGAGCCAAGATCACACTACTGCACTCCAGCCTGAGCAACAGAGCCAGACTCTGTCTCAAAAAA